CCCCATCACTGCCGCAGAATCTTTGCCCCCTCAAATGTCTGCTCCTCTTTCTCCTCTCAGGGTAAAAAAAAAAAAAAATAGGGGGTTTATGATTGGACGTGACAGATATGCTGAGCCCTGCAGTGCTGCTGACAAATGCACAACTCAGGCTCTGAATGAGTGAAGAGCAGCTCGGCAGAGATGCCACCAGGCAAACGGCTGCACGCAGACCAGTGTTCGACGAGTGCTGGCTGCAGATTCCACTGAGAGCAGTCCACTCACCCACGACGTTACGGCGTGATTGTAAAAAATAAAATAAGATGAAATAAAATAAATGCACAAGCTGCGTTTGAAGTACAGCTTCTGTCCCCGTGTCTGTGACAGAGCTGCTACTGCTGTCAACACTGGAGCCAATGTGCACAAAGAACAGCAGCAGCAGAGAAATGTACGTACACACACACACACGCACGCGCGCGCGCTCACACACTGAATGCAACAGCAGCAGCGTTAGTGGTGTATATGTGTGTGTATGTGTGTGTTGTCAGTGTCGGTGCCTGTGGTGAAATCGCTTACTTTCCCAGTTCCTCGTACAGCTGATACTCGTCCGTGAACCTGGTGGAGGTTACCACTGTAGCCATGTCGACTGCCGCTGAAGAAGAAGTGAAGAAGATTGAGGAAGGAAATGAGGAAGGAGCCGAGAAAGGAACAGCAGGAAGGAATCAAGGAAGGAAGGAAGGCAGAGGGGAATCCGCCTCTCTCCTCGGCGACAGCTTCACACAGGTTTAACAGGAGGAGCGAGAGAGGAAGAGAGACCTAGAAAGACTATAGGATAGAGCGGGGGAGAGAGAGAGCGCTGTAGTAACAAAGATCCTCGGCTGTGAAGAGGTCTTACACTGCGTTTGAAACCAGTGCAGAGCCGGCTATTTTTCGCGGCACTCGCTGGTTTTCAGTAGTATTTCCGTTTGTGTATGGGTTTATTTTTAAAACTAGTTTTCTTTACGTTATTATGTCGATCATTGTTGTCCTGATACCACTGAGGTCAAAGACAATTCCTGGCAGATAAAAACGAAGGCTATTATCTATGGCAACACCTGTTCACGGGGCGCCGTTGCCCCGCGAAAAACAATAATTAAAACAAAAAAAAGATAAATATGCTAAACAGCCACGTCTACATCACAGCACAGTGTCAGCCCATATAATAGTTGTGTAGTATCTGCCTGATTATAAGGGTAAACATATAAATGTCTAACTATACGTTAATCTCTGAATTGTTTTGTTTTTGTTAAAATTGCAGCAGAGTGAGAGCTCTTCTTATCTTTTCCATCCCCGTTAGTAAAGGTAGTAGAGAAGGATGCAATCCACGCGAGATCTTTCTGCTGCGCCTGCAGCTGCAGACCCAGGTTCGGTCTTACGTTTTCTGCTCGTACTTTTCAACCGGCATACGTAACAATAAATCTGCTCTCAGAACAGCTGAGAGGCGCAGGTTCAACGCAGGACCGAGTCGCATAGTCTGAGGCTGTTGCCGCAATATTTTAATATTGGTACAGAGAAATAAGACGCATGTCCAGAATATTACGATGTTCAATTTATGAAGTGCGTCACAAACACACAGATCATCACAACAACATTAGTTATAAACAACTAGTTATTATTATTATTATTATTATTATTATTATTAATGCTACAGTTTAATTATTTAAAAAAATATAGATATAAATAAATTTAAATGTCTATCGAAATTATACTAATTTAAATTCGGTGATGTTTCATTCTACAACTCAAATTACTAAATTAAAATATGTTTGTTCGTTTTTAATAATTCCAACAATAAAATTATATTACTAAGTTTTTAACTGCTATTTTTGTTATTTTATACCAAGAAACGTTAACGCTAAAATTGTCCAACATTCAGGGGGGAAAAAATGATGCTTTGAGAGATTAATAAAAAATAAAGAAGTCACTGCAAAAAAACAACAACAACGAAAATTACATAAAATCAGATGCTACACCACGGACTAATCTTCATCATAGTGTGTTTACAACCATGTTCATCTCCTCCCTCCTCTCCTCTGTACTCTCTGAACTGTCAGTGAACGCCACACAGCAGTATTTAAAGAGCGTGGCTGGCGATTAATGAGTGTTTGCAGTGAGCAGAGGAGCAGTGCGACCAGTTTCTGCCGTAATTACAGAGAGCCGCTCTGATATGAAAGCCTAATTAGCCAGGGTGCAGAGGTGCCATTGTATTAACTGCTGGATCCCTGTGTATTTTTGCGACAGGGCTGTCAGACCAGTCTTGGACTGGAGGACACGTAGAGCAGCTGGAGATTCTCACCACTCAGGCTCGTGACCCGCAGCGTGTGACTTCATGGCAAATATTATATGTATTGAAAAGTTACAAACAACAACAACAACAACAACAACAAAAAAGATAGAAAGTTATTTTCTAAAATATTTCTTAGAATGATTATGCTATTTTTTAATATATTCCCAGTGCTGTTCAAAAGTAAAGCACTTTACACTAAAAGGTTTTTCTGTTCATGTACCTGCCAACGGAGCCAACGTACAAACTACCAAGTCTGGAACCAACCCCACAACACTCCAGCTGTAAGACAACCGCACGACACACTGAACCACAGCCACCCACTCGGGAATGCATTCAAGTACGCCAAAGGTTACACGTACCCCTCTTTGAGAACCACTCCTCTACATGTCATTTGAAGTACTGCTTGTATTTGCGAGTACTCGTTGTGAGTAACATATACTGTAGTCCTTCATCATACATTTTGCTCTAAAAGCCCTAAAGCCCTAAAGCCCTCTGTGGTGATGACACAGTTGAGGCAGTTTGAAGGAACCAGAAGGGAGTGACTCATCCTACAGGAATGTTTTGGCTCACGGCAACACTGCGTATCTCTGTCGATCCTCCCCTCGTGATGAACGCTGACATCACACAACTACATGTTCTTGACACAGATGCATACCTGAGTGTGTTTTATCTCACAGACAGACCACCAGGGTGGTTCCTGAGCGACTCAGACTCCTTCTCACCAAATCTTTTTTAGAGTCCTAACCTAAACAGTTTCCCAGGGAACAGTCGGTCATGTCCCGAACATTAAAGCGGATCCATTCTCTCTCCTTCTCAATTACTAAATCATCACGTTGCCCCAGGTAAGCGTTTACAGCACATCGGGGCTATTTCAATGCTTAATGGGCTGCGATTTACGATGCAGGAACGCAGAGTGAATGTGTCCCGGTCCGGTCATTAATACCACTCTGTCTCACAGTAAAAATCTGTTAGCCATGTATTGGAATTAGTGGCCAACTGTGTGACATATTCACTGGTTTATGGATCGCACAAAACTAGTCAGTCGGACTGAGTCGGACCTTTGAGTTTAGTCTGAAAACATTATGTTTATATAAACAAGTAAAACCTGAGCCATGAGTCCATTTTCTTAGCTTTAAGAGCCCGTCTAGCCTCTGGGCCAACTTTACAAATCTGTTGTATTTGGTTCTGTATTCTATGGCTTAGACCGGCCAATCATAGCAGTCAAGGGCAGTTCAGCACGGACTTCTTCTACATACAGGAACTCCATACCATCCATTCTTATCCTATCATTTGGTCCAACCCCGTTTCGTAATGTTCTATAATGTTCCGGTCCCTTCTCGTCCGATCTCAATACTATTCTACCTTAGTTTAGCCTAGCCTAGCCTCCCCTGTCCCAGCTTGCCTTGACCTGCCTAACCCTAAGGGGCTATGGTAAGAGGATCAGGCTTGTTATCTGAAGGTCAAAGGTTCAAATTCCAGATCGGCAATTCTATCCTGTCAAATGTCTGTCTTGTCTCCTCCAACCCTGACTGGACTCGACCTTCTGTATCACAGCTTATTGCATCACACGGTTTCTACAACATGCATATTAAAATACACTGTACTCTCCTCGTGTGAAATCCCACGTCCCGAGTGGCTGCGGGAACTCTCTGTAAAAATTAGTTCACCGTCTTGTGCTCAGCATCACGACTACTCTGGATAGAAGATCTAAAGTTCAACTAGAGATCCAACAGTGGAGATGACAGCTCACACCCACACACTGAATTACACTGTGCCTCTGTTTGTGTGTGTGTGTGTGTGTGTGTGTGTGTGTGTGTGTGTGACGCCTCCTTGGTGATTTATATAATCTGACGGAGCCTTATTTCTGCAGGCCCATGACAGTGTCCTGGGAATCGTGTGTGTGGGCATTAAAACAATGTCGTCGCCACTTTCTCTCTTGTTTTTCAGCGTCTCTTTGTCTCATGGCTAGTTTGGACTCGACGCAGTCTCACCAGATCTCATCACTGCTTTGAGATTTTCTCTATCTGTTTAGGTTTAAAGGGAACCAGGATATTGGAGGCCACAGGGCATGTTGGACTGTCTGCAGTTAAAATCACTCTGAACGACTGGATGATAAAGAGTTAAGTACTTAGAATCAACTGTTCAGAGCAGAGGAGACTGTGGAAGAGAGGTGAAGAATAGAGTACAGGATGGAAGAGCTGGAGATCAATGTCAGGAGTGATCTGTGACAGAAGAGTGTCGGCTAAGGTGAAGAGAAAGGTTTACAGGACGGTGGTGAGACCAGCCATGATGTATGGTTTAGAGACGGTAGCAATAGGCAGAAGACAGGAGGTGGATGTAGTGAGGGAGGACATGCAGATAGTTGGAGTCAGAGTAGGAGATGCAGAGAACAGGGAGAGCTGGAAATCAATGATTTGCTGTAGCAACTCCTGAAAAAAAGGGACAGAGCCGAAAGAAAAAGAAAGATTCTTTCAATTTCTCACTCTTTTTTAAATGTCCTTGTCGTTGCAGGAGCAGCTGTGACCCTCCCCACCACGCCCCCTGGGGGATCAATAAAGTATTCTTAATTTAAAAAATACTGCCACTGTATATAAACACCGAACATCTGAATGTCGTTGTTCCCGGCCTCTCTGCTGACACGCTCATCCACAGTGACCTCTACAGCACATCTCCACTGCACAGTCCGAAGCTGTTTACTGGAGAACATGCTGAGTGAGACCGAGCCGAACCAGCTCTGATTCATTCCAGTCAGGCCTCACCAGCAGGCAGATACATCTCAGCTAATCAGCCAGCGTGAGGCTAAAAACTGCAGCATAACCAGCCGTGTGCTCCGACAAATTATGTTCTATTAGTTAGTCCTGCAGCTCACGGCTCAGCTTTCTCCCTGATATTCAGTGCCAGCCATCGTTTGTAAACTCTGTGTCTGCAATTCTTCGGAGCTCACACACATTCACTTTCGCATTATATGTCCCTAAAAACTAAAAACTAAGGTTTTCTCTCAGGTTCCACATAGAAAAGACTGAAGAGTAAGATTCAATGTCAATTTCGTGTTAGTGTTAGCCTGCTACAAAAAGATTACCTCCACGTCATGGGTAGTTGGATTTGTTTCTGCATTTATTTTCCATTTTCTCCAAATCCACTGAACTTCATTACACAGCAAATAAGTTCAGTCAAACTAAAAGGTCAGCAAAGACCTGATTAGAGCTTGGAACACGACATGATGTGACTGTGGTCAGAGGTCTCTTGGATTAGCCTCACTGTGACAGACGTAAAGTCGGCACAGCCTCGGAGAACACAACAACAAGGTGACATTTGACCAAGACAACTGCCCTCAGCGTGTGTCGTCTTATAAAGTTACCCTGCGGAAAAAAAATGTTGATGTCGTTCCACAACCGTGTCGTAAGGTCGTGTTGTACGTCAACAACCCGCGGTTCATGTTGCGTGCGACTGTAAGTCCCTGCAGCCTGGCCTGTCATGACTCTTTGTCCTCTGTCTGACCTTCCTTGTTGACCAGATATGTAGTATCTAGAAAAAAGTACTTTATGTATAAAAGTAGTATTTTTAATTCTGTAATACACGCTTTAAACTTTTGTTAGGTAGACGGACCAAAAACAGTTCTATTTAAGAACGACAGCTTTTACATGAAATAATATACAGTATATTTATTTTTTTAATGCAGGTGTTAGTCTGAAAATGATTATACTTTGGCTGATTATTTGAAGAAAAAAAGCGGGTTAATGATTTAATTTTGTGTTAGCTACAAAACAGCTAAGAGCCAATTAAAGTACAGCAAGATATTGTATATTGAGTAGCATTTTAAATTTCTGGAATCACAGACTTCCTTTAAAGATCACGTAGTCAAGATTTTTCTAACTGACCGTGGACGACGTCCCTCTCTCTTTTTATTTATTTATGCAAACAGGTTGTTTCTCTCTAGTCGTGAGCCCACCTTTTTGAAGAGGGCTTTTAATTTGCATAATTTGCAGGGCTTCTTCATCCTGTCTTTCCTGCCTCCCTGCCCCTCATTACCCCACTGCTCTCCCTCCAGACCCAGCCAGGGGCTCCACACCCCTCCATGGAGCTCAGGGTCAGCCATGGGGTCATCTGGAGGACTTTTGGCCACCACAGCTGTCTGGTTGTACTTGGCCAGCCTGGTCAGCAGCTGTTTCACGATCTGTGGATGAGAGTCCGCCAGATCTGACCTCTCATAGGGGTCAGCGCTGATGTTGAAGAGCCAAACTGACTTCCCCAACTCGCTGCGCCGCCGCTCCAACTTCTTCCATCGATCTGGACCAACGGGAAGAGCCCGTGGTGGTATCCAGTCCCCATCTCCTACACTTCCCGTCATCAACTTCCAGTCTCCGACCCGTATTGCGGCCCTCACCGCCGTGTCCCAGATCCCAAACCCGTTGAGGACCATTGATTTGTCGTAAGGCTCTCCATGCTTCCTAGAGACCGGATCGATGTTGAGAAGAATCTCAGTCCGAGGACTGGGGACACCCTGGCTGATTGTTTTCCAAACATTGTAACCGTCAAGATCGTGGTTGGACTTCGGGGCACCAGCCAGTCCCAGTAAAGTGGGGTACCAGTCAGAAACATGGATCAGAGCGGTGCTGACCACGCCCTTGTTGACCAGCAGAGGACTGTGGACAAAACCCACAGCACGGATGCCTCCCTCCCAGTAGGTTCCTTTACCACCCCTCAGTGGCCAGTTGCTGCCCCCAGAGAGCGGCTGCCCCCCATTATCTGATGAATAAACGATGACTGAGTTTTGATAAAACCCCCCAGTCTTCAGGTGTTCGACTACTTCTCCCACAGCCCCGTCCAAACAACTCAGCATGGCTGCATAGTGTCGCCTCAGCTGGTTGTCCTGTGAGTCATAATGGTGCAGAAAACTGTCTGGTACCTGCAGTGGTGTATGTGCAGCCTGAAGAGACAGGAAGAGGAAGAGGGGCTTCTGGGGGTCGTGGCTCCTCAGGATCTGCTTCACCCTGGAGAAGAGAAAGAACATATTAAGGACTTTAAAATAAAATATAATCACTGATGAACAAACAAACAAGAAATTATAGTTAGTTAAAACCATGATCCTGAGCCTAATCTGACCACTAGAGGTCAGCGAGGGGTTTTTGAATTGTGTCACATTAATGTCACCAGAAGAAAATGGCAGCGTTCATCTGCAGCACCTCTGCCCTCAACATGTCATTTCCCTTTTCTTGTTCCCTTCAGAAGTGGTCATGACATTTCATTGATCTACAGCTGCTTAAACCCTTTTTGAGTGGCAGGAGGACTGGAGCCAATCATCAGACAGGAGCGTGTCAGAGGACAGTTCTCCAGGCCATCACTTTCACACTCACTGCTTGCTAATGGCAGCACCAACAACAAAATGGCACTGTCCTCAAACTCAGCTGTGTAACACTGAAGTACAGCAGCAACGTAGGGTCACAGTATTTGGTCGTAGTACTGTAAGTACTGCCTTACTGAATGCTATCACTGAATGCCTTTTTTGTGTTACAACAGCAAAGTATCAACAGCTTTGTTTTTGTACTTCTTTATAAATCTGCAGTATTACTGCAGAACATAAAAGTAATCTACTGCTCTTTATAATCTCTTTAAAATTCATTATTTTCACAAGAATTTAAACTCAAACTAAACAAGAATTGAAGCTCAAACTAAACGTGTATTGTTTTTAAATTCAAATGCCCCAGTGGTAGGATTCCTGCCTGCAGGAGGTTGCAGGTTTGATTCCTGCCTCTTCAGGAACGTCCTTTGAAAAACTGCGTCACTTGACTCTGTCGTTTCTCAGCAGACCTCTCTGTGCCTCACCTCTCTGTGTACAGCAGGGTGGAGTAGTTGCCTCTCATCACCCAGGCAGGTTTGTCTCCGTCGTGCAGGTCAAACCCACAAGCTTCCGCACCGTCGCAGCTCTGATAGGTAAAGTGGTCGCCGCTGCCAGTGAGCGTGCCCAGGAAAGTCTGAAAGCCACGTCCTGTGGGGAGGCAGCTGGGCCGGCAGAAGCCCAGGTGCCACTTGCCCACCATGTGCGTGGCGTATCCGGCCTCCAGCAGGCGCTCTGACAGCGTGGGGAAGTGTGGGGGCAGACAGAGGGGCTGACGTGGTCGGATGATTGAATGCTGGAGTCCAGTGTGAATTTGGTAGCTG